CGCGCGCGCGAGTGTGTGTGTGTGTGTGTGTGTGTGTGTGTGTGTGTGTGTGTGTGTGTGTGTGGGTGCATGCGTACACACACACGCTGACTCCTAGAAGTCAAGTATCACTGCCCCCTTGTTACACACAGAGGCAAAGGCCAAGAGGAGAAAGATCATGCACTCCCTTGGCCCTTGAAGCAGCCAAGACCAGCCCTGTGGTGCCCCCTGCCCGGCCCCTCGTGGCTTCCTGTGGTCTTTAGGACAGAGATCCAGTCCCCTTTACACCCTTCCTGCCCCTCCACATAACCCTCTCCCTCTCCACTCCACTGGCTGGGCCGGGGCTGCCCAGCTGGCTCCCCTCCCTTACTCCCCTTCACCAGCTGATGCCTGTTCGGTCAGGGCCCAGAGTGCCCTACACAGGCGAGGGCCACCTGTACCTTCTCAGGGCTCCCTGCTCACAACCCTTCCCGCACACACATCCGGTTTTCCCCACTAGACCATCGGTTCCATAAGAGGAAGGACTCGTCCGCCATGTCCTCTGCCACTCTGCGTAGCGCTTGACACACAGTAAAGGTCTGGGAAATGTTTGGGTTCGCTATTTCATCTCTTCTTCACTTATCGACCATTCTCTTGCTGGCTGGAATCGTCATGTAGTCCTATATATTGATTTGGTACCGGAAATCAAACTCAGGGCCTTGCGCCTGCCGGGAAGATGTGGCACTGTGGAGCTACAGCCCCAGCCTCCTTTATATTCATTTATGCACTGACTCCTTCCCTGGGTCATTTGCTCTTGGCACGCATTTTGCCCTGCGTCTTTATATGGTAGTGTGGCTTCGGAACGATCATAGATGTGGAGTCACCATGTAGTCCTGAGTTCGAATCTTGGCTTGTCTTCTTACTAGCCTGGGTGAACCCAGGACGGAGACTCCTCCCCTGCCCTGGTCCTCCTCCTCCAGGGTATAAATCTCTGTCTTCAGAGAGGTTGTAGTTACAGCGCCTGGCGCAGAGCACCCGGCTGCCAGCCCCTTACCTAAGTGATTACTGCTCATTCAGCCCCAGCGAGGGCAGAGGCCAGTGAGGCCCAGCGCACAGTGGGAGCCACCTTCATCCCAAGCCAGTGGCTGCGGCACAGCTTACCTTGGCCTAGGACAGGAAGTGCGTACCTACCATCAGCGCCCAGGGGAGATTTTACCTTGAAGGTAAAGCATTTAAAATGTCAGGGCTCTTTGATTTCATGGACCCTTGCCAAAGCCTCGGACTGAATTTCATGTTCATTATTTTTAATTATTTTACCTGAAGAGGAGCCTGAATTTTAATCTTCCCTCCCACCCATGCGCACAGGCACGTGTACACACACACACACACACACTGGACATAGTAGTGAAGGGGGCACATTTTCAACCCGGAGAAATCCCAGTGGTGCAGCCCGCGGGGCAGTGAGCACGCTCCTGGGAAGCCCGGTGGTCTGGCAGGTGCATGGGTCGGGTCACTGGGCAGAAGGTCACAGGACCCCAGCCTGGCCGACCCTTCCTCTTCTACGAGAAGTCTTCTCTCCCCGACCTCTCCTGCTCCCCCATCCACCTCGTCTACTCCACCTCGGTCTGCAGAAGTGACCGGCCACCCAGGCTTGCTCTCTGTTCTGCCAGATGCATGGGTGGAGAGGAGCAGAGGCTGTGGGGCGCTGTTTGATTTCCGGTACCAAATCAATACACAGGAATACACGAGGGTGCCAGCCAGCAAGAGAATGGTTGATAAGTGAAGGCAGGCACTAAAGGGACTCGTTGATACAGGTGGCCTCAAACCGCGTGCTGTCCTCTGTCCCCAGCTCAAATAGGCGGGGCAGAGCCTGTTAATTAAGCAGATCCTCCTGTGCAGAAGGGTCCATCCTCTCTCCCTGACCTTGGTGATCTCCTCCAGGCCCTGGACAAGGGGCTGCTAGAGTCCCCAGAGGGCAGAGCCAGCGACAAATTCCAGTTCCTCAGTGGAGAGCCCAGAAAGTGCCGGGCACACCTACAGCCAGGCCCACACACGTGCGCGTGTGCACGGCGTCTGACAAGAAGCACCTCAGACCTAGAGAATCCAGCCCGGAGCTCCACTCCCCACAGGAGGCCCACCCTAGGTCCCAGCCTAATCTGCAACATCACTGGAGCCAGATAGAGCACACCCTGCACTCTTACTCACTACACCCACATTTGGCCAAATTCTGCTAACTGGTGGCAGACGACTCCTGTTCTCTAGGCCAGCTCCCAACAAACCATTTCCAAATTGAGCCTCTAGGCACTTCCTTTAAAAGCACAAGAAGCCAGATGTAGGGCACACACTTGTGACCTCAGTGTTCTAGGAGACTGAAGCAGGGGGAATCACAAATTCAAGCCTAGCAGAGGCAATTTAGTGATTTAGCAAGGCCCTGTCTCAAAGAAGAAACAAAGGCTGAGGGTGTAGCTCAGTGGTAGAAGGCCTTTGGGTTCATTCCCCAGCAATACAAAAACAAAAATAGGTGAAAGAGCCAGGTGAAGTGGCACATGCCTGTAATCCCAACCACATTGGAGGCTAAGGCAGGATGACCACAAACTCAAGACAGCCTGAGTAACTTAGCACAATCTTGGTTTAAAAAAAAAAAAAAGAAAAAAAGAAAAAGAAAAGAAAACCAGATGTGTGGTGTACACCTGTAATTCCAGCACTTGGGAGGCTGAGGCAGGAGGATTGCTGAGTGGGAGGCCAGCTTGGGCTTTATAGTGAGTTCAACACCAGCCTGGACTACATGGCCTTGTCTCAAAAAACAAGCAAACAAATCAAAAAGACCTAAATGAAAGAGATAAAACTCTTAGAAAAAATAACATGGAAGTAAATCTCTGTGACCTTAGGTTTGGCAGTGGGGTGGGGTCACTGGGAATTGAATCAGGCCCTTCACACTGACCCACATCTCCAGCTCTTCTTATTTTGAGACAGGTTTTCATTAAGTTGCTGAATTGCTCAGGCTGGGCTTTAATGTATGATCCTCCTATCTCAGCTTTCCAGAGTGCTGGGATTAAAGGCTTTCACCTCCCCATTTGGCAATGGTTTCTTAAATACAACACCAGGGGCATAAACAAAATAAAAAGTATAAGGGTTGGGGATTTAGTTCTGGTTCCACCACCTGCCTTGCCAGTGTGAAGTCCCAAGTTCAATTCCCCGGTACCAAAAAAAGAAGAAGAGGGAGGAGGAGGAGGAAGAAGGTAAAATGGAATTCATCAAAATAAAAACTTATGTGCATTAAAAGACACTCTCTACAAATAAAAAGATAAACTACAGAGTGGGAGAATTACCAAGCATATACCTCAGAAGGCTCTGATGTCCAGAATATAAAAGAACTCTCACGATGCAACAACAAAGAGACAAACAAGCCAATTAAAAATTGGGCAAGCCGGGCATGCTGGCACACACCTATAATCCCAGCACTCAGGAAGCTGAGGCAGGAGGATTGGCAGAAAGTGTGAGGCCAGCCTGGGCTACATAGTGAGTTCAAGGCCAGCCTGGACTACATAGGGAGACCTGTCTCAAAAAAAATTAGTCAACTTGGGCCGAGCGGACAAGCTCTGAGGTAGAGCTCCATCAGACTCTCGTCTAGCACTTGATCCACAGCACTGAAGAAAAAACTGAGCAAGCCTCTCTAATAAACATTTCTGCAGAGGTACATGAATGGCCAATAAGCATGGGAAAATGTGCCCAAGGTCATTAGTCATTAGGGAAATGCAAGTCAAAACCACCGTGAATATTATATCTTTTTTTTTTTTCTTAAGACAGGGTCTCGCTATGCAGTTCAGGCTGGCCCTGAGCTATGTAGCAGGGGCTGGCCTTGAACTCACAGTGATTCTCCTCCCAGCTCCAAAGTGCTAGGATGACAGGCACGCCCCCCCACACCTGGCCATGGTAAGCATTATTTCACACACACTGGGGTGGCTTGCATCTTTTAAATGGAAATAACAAGTGTTGATGAGGAAGTAGAGCAGTCCGGAAGTCTCCTAGGTTGCTGGTGGGAGCAGGAAGTCAGAGCAGCTTCTGAAAACCAGCCCAGGAATAAGGGCTAAGGGAGCTGAACCTCCCGGCCTCAGAGACCACTGTCCTGATTGCCCAGCAGGCTCCGTCTGATTGTGCAGGGGTTGAACGATGAAGCCCTGCTGTTCTACTTTTTTTTTTTTTTCTTTCTGCCTCAGCACGTGGCAAAGGTAGGATTCAAATCCAGGTCCTCTCAACCCAGTTTTCCTCCGAACACCACAGAATGGCTCAGCGAGACCACCACATGCTCCGTTTCTCATTCCTGTTCTCTCCACCACTCCGAGGTCCCTGCCTAGGGAAGAGTTCGATGGAACCCAGGCAACGCCCCTGATTCCCAGCTACAAACAAAACCCCAGGGCTTTGGAGTCTGACAGACCTGAGCTGGACACCTCGTGGGGGGTTTGGGCTGGCGGTTTTGCTGCTCTTAATATTTCCGTCAGGACAGGGCAAGGGAGGGCCCACAGGGAGGACAATCACAAGGCCTGATGCCCATCCCCTCCACACAGGTGGGGACAGAGGGGTGCACTGGAGAAAAGGTTAAGTCCTGGCCTCCAGGTCCTCTGCCTTCTCTTCACCAAGCTGCATACACAGCCCTATAAAAATTTCTTAAAATTTTGAGACAGGGTCTCACTATGTAGTTGAGACTGACCTGGAATTCACTATGTAGTCCAGGTTGGTCTTGAACTCACAGCGATCCTCCTGCCTCAGCCTCCCAAGTGCTGGATTATAGGTGTGCGCCACCACACCCAGCATCTCAGCATTTCTCTCTTTCAACCTTGAATTTGTGATGTTCAAATTAAGGGCCTTACCTTCATCTGGGGCAGCCACATGATAATAGATAATGCAGCTTTAAATCAGAGATATGAAGTTCAAACTGTGGAATTACAGCAGAAGGGGAGACTTTTCCCAGGGGGGTGGGGTCAAGGTGGTACGGTCTGGCGGAGGCTGACCCCACCCCTAGAACTTGCCCAGAGTGGCCCCTTACCTCGGCTCCCCCAAACCCAGGCTGCGGTAGCATTCTTTGTGAGGTCACTGGTATCTGAAACCCCCCAGCCAATAAGGCCCCTGCTCCTGCCTTCATAGTGGGGAGAATCAGTCCCAGCACTGTTGGGGGCTGAGGCAGGAGGATCACAAGTGTTGCTTGTTTTGTGAGACAGGGTCTCACTCTATAATTCAGGCTGGCTTTGAATTCACTATGTAGCCTAGGCAGTCCTCAAACTCACAGAGATCCTCCTGTCTCAGCCTCCCAAGTGCTATGATAGAAAGTTTGAGATCACCTTAAGCAATTTATTTAGATCTTGCTTTAAAATTTAAAATTAAAATAATTTTTAAATAAAAGAAAAAGTGCTGAGGGTGTCACTCAGTGTAAATCCCTGGGTTCAATTCCTAGTACCGCAAAAAATAAAATAAAATAAATTTATTAAATTTTATTTTATCCCATCCCCTCCCCTTAAAATTAAATTTTTAAAAGGTCTGTGTTCTGACATCTTCCACATTGCCTGGAAACAACCTCAATGGACTGAAGACTAAGTTGCTGGCCTGGCATGCAAGATGCCCCTCAAAATTCCTCGGCTCTATAGATCTTGGGGTGATCAGGGCCTAGGACCCAGGCAGTCTGGGATGAGGAAACTGAGACCACTAGAAGGGAAATACTGATCCAGTATCACCAAATTGGGACACCTGAATGTTACCCAAGTCCTTGATCTTTCCCCTACGCTGCCTTTATCCTCCGCTAGGTACAGGGGCAGGGTAAGAGGAGGCAGGGCTGGGGGACAGAGGCCTGAGACAAGGAAATGAGAACCCTGGGGCTACCTGTCTAAAGGATCTCATTTTTAAGGATGAGCAATAAGTAAGATAATTAAGGTTATAGTGACTGGACGGAAAACTTCAGGCACACCACTTACAAAACGAGAGCGGGAGCTGGGTAAGGTGCACAAACCTATAATCCCAGCACTTGGGAGGCTGAGGCAGGAAGATGGCTGGATCTCAAGGCCAGTTGTGGGCGGTGTAGTGAGTTCAAGGCCACCCTGAACTACTGACACACTGTCTCAAACCAAAAATAAATACATAGATAAATTTGTAAAATAACACGAGAGGGTGTGTCCGCAGTGGGGATTCCCAATTTTGACCCAGGTCAGGAAACCTCAGGGTATTTCTTGGGTGACACACTGCCCAGAAATCGGCCTCAGCAGCCCCGCTCCCCACCCTGAGCACCTACCTCTGCTCGAGGGAAGGTGACCTCAAGGGCCCCAGCATCCATCCCTGCGTCTGGACACTGAAGCTGCCCTCCTGCTCCCTGCTGCTGCTCCAGGACCTGGTGCCACCCACAGTCCCCCCTGCATGCCCCTGGCCACATCCTCTCGCTCCTAGAGAGTGTCCTCCCCTCAAACCTGCTTTATCCCCAGCCATCCAGCTCCATACCAAGGACCCTTCTGTCCACTCCAGGTACTTAACCAAGTCCTTCCAAGCTCACCTCGGGATCGGCCCTGCCCCTCTAGCCCCACAGCCTCTGCCTCAGCTCCAGGCCCTGTCACGGGAGCCGGATCTCAGCCACTCTTCTAGACAGTGTCCCGGGCAGACTCAGCCTCTCCTCTCCCCGGCCTGTCCCCCTACACCCTCCAGCCAGGGGTCCCTGGCCACTGCGATCTTCCTGTCTCTGCTGCCCTTCAATGTTGATCTGCACTGAGGCATCAAGAGGAAGCAGGAAATCGTGCCTTCCACGTCTGTCTGGTGAGCTTGCCCACACATCCAGCTCTGGAAACAGAGAGCCTCAGCCCCCAGAATATGCTCTCCTGTCTCCTTCCCGCTCCACCACTCTCCCAAATGAGGGCACCGACCTCCGACACCACAGTCTGCACACGCCCTTTTGGAATCCATTTCTCCCTACACAGTTCGGGGTAGCCTTGAACTCTCCGCATAGCCAGCATAGCCAAGGCTGGCCTGCTGAGTGCTGGGTTCACAGGTGTGAGCCACCACTCCTAGTTTACACATGCCTGCTTTTGTACTGTGAAGAAATGAAATTACACAGCAATGTTCATTTTGTTTTGTTTGAGACAGTCTTGCTATGTATGCCAAGCTAGCCCTAAACTCACTATGTAAGCCCAGGTCAGATTTGAACTCCTGGTGATCCTCCTGCCTCAGCTTCCCAGAGTGCTAGATTACAGGCATGTGCAACCATGCCTGGCTGCACAGCGCATACTCTTATCCCGAGTTTCTTGGGCTCAATGCGGGTATTTGCGAGATTTGACAATTTTGTGCCTTATCAGGCGTGGTGGCACACACCTATGATCCCAAAACTCCGGAGGCTGAGGCAGGAGGATTGCTGCAAGTTCAAGGCCAACCTGAACTATATGGTGAGATTCTGTCGCAAAAACAAAACAAACAAAAATAAATAAATAAAATTCTGCCCCTGCCAACAGCTCCTGCTTCCAACTCAGGCCTGTGGGCTCTCTCCAGAGCCTGAAGCAGTGGTTTTTATGTTTCCTCAGAGTTTAGCACTGATACCCGTCTAAGCGTTGATCTGGTAGGAGCGACTTTACCATTACCAGAAGCAGAGCCTCTCCTTTTCCATTTTTATTTTTTTCCACTTTTCCTGCTTTCTTCTGGATTCATGAACTCGTCTTTCCCACTTGTCTGGAGTCTACACATGGTCTGTTCATTAGAGTTAGTCTAACTACCTGAAAATTCACACTTCAAGTAGCAAAAAATTAATACTATAGGGCCAGAGATTTAGCTCAGTGGTGCCGCTGCCTGCCTCTCAAGCACAAGGTCCTGATTTGATCCCCAGTACCAAAAATAAATTAAATTAAAGTAATACTATTAGCCATCTTCAGAAAAATAAGCAAACAGGCAAAAGAAAATACCCCAAGAACAATAGACTGGCCAAGGATTTAGCTGAGTGGCTCCGGTGCCTGCCTCACAAGCACAAGGAACCGAGTTCTATCCCCCGTACCCCCCCACACAAAATAGATTGTACCTCCACTCAGCCACTTCCCAACTTCTCCCTAATTTTAGTCCCTTTGTTTCACAACCTCTACCAGTTAGTCATTGTCGCTGCTGCATGCAAGCAGTGTTTGTTTAGATTTCACCAATATCTTCTCAAGATCTTGACTGACCACTTTAAATATTCTGAGTGCTTCCAACTGGGATGAATTACCTTCAGCCTGAGGAATAGCCTTTGTGATCTTCATACGTGTTTGCTAGAAGCTGGGTATGGATCATACACCTGTAACCCCAGCACTCTGGGAGGCTGGCTCTTTGATCACCCCGCCCTGACGTCCCCCTTCCCCAGGCCCCGCGCCGGTGATGACTCCTGGCCTCCCTCAGCGGCACTAAAGACGCAAACTCGGCCTCAACCCTAACACGAGGGCGGGTTGTACAGGGAGGGCCCTCGTGGACTGTGAGAGCTGCTTGGGATTTTTCTCTCAGAAAGAAATTTGTCCAGCATTAGTGTTAAATATTATTAGCAAAAAAATTGACCATAGCATTGCCAAGGAGTAAGGACAGGAAGAGGCTTGAAGATGCCCTAAATCAGGCAGCTGGTCCTAGAAGCAGCCTAATCTGTGTTTGAATGGCACACGAGGTGACAGGACAGGTCAGGGCTTCTCAGAGCCTCAATCTTTTTTAGCCAGGTGTGGTAGCTCCCACCTGTAATCCCAGCACTCAGGAGGCTGAGGCAGGAGGATCACAAATTCAAACCCAGCCTGGGCCACTTAGCAAGACCCTGTCTTAAAATATGAAGTTAAAAAAAAGGTCTGGGGACTTCGTTTAGAGTGAAGTCCCTGACTTCAATCCTCAGTACCCCACAGAAAAAAAGAAAGAAAGAAAAGCAGCATCATGGCAAAATGAGATAAAGATGTGATGTACTTCACAGAAAAGCAATAAATGATGTATTTACTGCTACTGCTACTGCTAATGGAAGAGCAAATGTAAACCAGACCAGGTCAGACTCACTACGCCCCCAACTCTCTCACTAATCAGGCACAAGAGCTCCTCTGGGTTTCTCTGTAAATTGAAGTCCCTGAGCACTTCGGCTACATTTAAACTCCAGAGTCCCGGAGTAGGGGTGGCACCTAATTGGCTTCCCATCCTGAACCAACCCCATGCCCAGGGACTCCTTGATCCCAGGGGTGGCCTGCAGTAATCCAGGCCACATGCCAGGACTCTCAGAGGTTCTTTGTTTGTTTGTTTTTGTTTTCTGAGACAGGGTCTCACTATATAGTTCAGACTGGTCCTGAACTCACTATGTAGCCCAAATTGGCCTTGAACTCAAAAGTGATCCTCCTGCCTCAGCCTCCTGAGGATTACAGGTATGTGCTGCCATATCTGGCTCTGTACTTATTTAGAAACAAGGTCTCTGCCATGTACTTCAGTCTGACCTTGAATTCACTGTGTAGCCCAGGAGAACTCTGGGTGATCCTCCTGCCTCAGCTTCCTAGATTATAGGTGTGCACCTCCACACCCCCAGCTCAGAACTCTTGGCCTTAATCTCAGTCCAATTTATCAACCAGGATCTTAGATAGAAGGAAAATTCTTGGGGCAAATCTAAACTGTCCTTGCCAACCCTTGCCTGCCCTAGGGATTCTCCTGGGGGTGGGGCAGAAAGGGCTAGGGTTAGAAAAGTGTGAGGGACAACACAGATACCCAGTGCTCAAAGGTCATTCTGGCAATGACAGGATTTTCTGCTTGACCTGCTGAGGCCCAGGGAGGGTGGGGAGAAGGGGAGGGACTTCAGGAGCTGTCTCCACCCAGGGCCAGGAGTGACCCGGTACCATAAGAGCTGCCAGGGCCGGGGAAGAGTCGGGTGCTGCGTGGACTCCTGCCTGGCGCCTCCTCCCAAGGGAACCTCAGAGACTCTGGACGGGGATTCTGCAGAGGGAGCCATCATGGGATGCCGGGGCTGTTCAGGCCCGGCTGTCAAGTGGGCCCTGGGTGGCGGTGTCATCACAGCTCTGGCATTAACTGTCGGGATGGTCCTCGCCTTGACGCTGAACCGGGGTCCCCAGTCTGGTAGGTGCCCCCTCACTCTGAAACACCTCGACTTGTCTGACCATGCCTTTCCTCTACCCCAAGGCTTCCCGCAGCAGAAGGTCCCTTCGGCTTTCTCCTTTTCAGTGGCGCGGAGACAGCCCTCCTGCCTCCCGGGCCCTGGGGTGGACGCGCTGCTGGGGGACCTTGCCTGTGCCTTCTTTATGCAGGGTTCCTTAGTCCATCTATCTGCCTCGTGGATCCCAACCCTTTTTTTGTTTTTCCTGGTACCAGGATCAAGCTCAGGACCTTGCGCTTGCAAGGTAGGTGCAGCGCCACTGAGCTAATCCCCCGGCCCCATTCCCAAGCCTTTCTGAGGAGACTCCTGTCACCCACCACCTTCCCCCCAGCCTTGCCTCTGAGGCCTCTGGTCTGCCCTTCCCGCTAGCCCAGGGCCTATCCTTTTAGACATCCACACTCTACAAGTCTTCACCTCCAATGGTCCTTCTGCCTGAAGTCACTCATTCTCTCTCCTGCTGAATGTACACCCATCCTTTAAGATCTCCCTGAAATGTGCCCTTCTGCCAGCGTTTGTGTCCTTCCTCCTAGCTCTGGGCGCCCTGGGTCCCACTGTCTCCCTGCTAGAGCACGTGCAGGACACATGGTGGGAGCCCAGGGAAGGAGATGGGATGAGTGAGCTGAAAGGAGCCCGGGCCAGGGCACGGCGGCGCTGACAGCCCTTTGGCATTGGTTCCAGGCTGCGAGGTGGGTGCGGCCTGCAGCCCCGAAGCGGACATGTTGGACTACCTGCTGAGCCTGGGCCGGATCGGAAGCCGGGATGGCCTGCTGGTCAGCTGGACCCACGGAGCCAACAGCCAGGACAAGATGGAGGAGGGCCTGAGCAGTAAGTCCTGCTGCTGGGAGGCAGAGGGAGCACAGGGAGGACAGCCAGAGGTGCGGCTTAGGCACGGTGGCCACCGTGGTGCCACTTGTCACAAACTCTGAGCTACAAAAGGTGAAGGGAATGGGCCCCAAGCATTAGCTTTGGGAGAAGGGGGTGCTGGCCCACCCAGGATTCCACAGCCTGAGGCTCTGGATGAGGCCTGCATTTTTATGTTTGTAACAAGTTCCCGGGAGACCTTGATGTTGCTGGTCCTGGTGACCACACTTCGAGAACTGTTGCTCAGGAAGAATCTCCCCATCTTGGATGAAGGAACTGGGGTCCAGCATGGGGAGAGGCTTGTCCAACCTCACGCAGTAGGTCTGGGCCTGGGCCCAGGCCAGCTGCACTTCTGGGGGTGCAGCACACCTGTGGACCTAGAGGAGCCAGGGCTCAGTGGCTGGGGGGCACTGAGGGACCTGGGCAGGTAGGTCCTGCAGGACAAAAGGCCCTGCCGCCCTCCACTTCCCAGCTCAGCCCTGGCACCACCCAACAAGGAGCAATCAGAGCCCCCTGAGCCAGGAGCTCAGCTGAAAAGGAAGCTGTGGACCCCACCAAGAAGCAGGGGCCATGAAAGCCCCGTTAGAGTAATAACTGCCAACTTCAGGGAAGACCCCAGGCCTTACTTTCCCCAGAGGGTTCTGGGTTTTTTGTTTTTTGAGACAAGGTCTCACTAGGCCTGAACTCTTGATGATCCTCCTGCCTCGGCTTCTCGAGCTCTGGGATCACAGGAGTTCGCCATCATGCCCAGCTTCCTTGAGGGTTCTGCCAGGCCCCAGGCAGCCCCTGGGAAGACGAATTTGGATATGAAGCTAGGAGCAGCCGGAGCACAGGTGCAGGGCAGACAGAACTGGGTTCAGATCTTTCTGTAACCACCTAGCAGCAGAGCGACTTGGGACAAGTGACTTCACCGTCTGCAGCTCAGTTTTCCCTCTGGAAAGTGGGCAGACAGTGTGACCACCTCAGGCATCCAAACCACAGCGTGTTTGATCTGGAGAGGTCACTGGTAACTACACTGAGACAACAGGAATACACGTAGTGTTTGTTGGTCCCCTGGTTTCTCTAGGCAAGCAAGCTACTCCATGTAACAACTGATATTTGAATGCCTAATTGGGAATTTTTGTTCTGTTTTTTTTGTTTTGTTTTTGTTTTTTTGTACTGGGAATCAAACTCAGGACCTTGAGTTGCGAGGCAGGCAGTGGCACCACTGAGCTAAATCCCCAGGTTTTGTTTTGTTTTCTTTTCTTTTTTTTGGTTCCAGGGATTGAACTCGGGTCCTTGGCACTTGCAAGGCAGGCCACTGAACTGCTGAGCTAAATCCCCAGCCTGTTTTCTTTTTTTTTTTGATAGTCTCACTATGCCATTCAAACTGGCTTTAAACTCATGATGATCCTCCTGCCTCAGCCTCCCAGAGTGCTGGGATTATAGGTGTGCACCACCACACCCAGACTCTGACCATTTTGAAGCTCCTCCTTTCAGCCTGAGCTGTCTAGGCAGGAGGAACTCAAGTCACTTCCGACCACAGACATAGCAAGAGGGTTTCACCAAAAGCAGAGAACAGAATATCTGTCCTGCCTAGACCTGCTCACAGCCTGCACCTGAACAATTCCTTGGGGACTGGTGTGAAGCCCAGAGGCTGGAACCCAGAGAATAAGGGAGCCACATGTGCGGGGAGGCTGGGAAATGCAGGGTCTGGTCACACAAACCACAGGAAGGAACTTGGAGTAGAGTCACAGGGCTGTGGGTTTTTTGTTTTTTAACAGGAAGTGGCAGGTCAGGTGTGTGTTGTGAACATGCTGTGGTAGGGAAAATAACTCCTAACTATCAAGGAATGAAGTTGCAAACCAAAGAAGAACTTAGAGTCTTACTGAAAAAAGAGAATAATTTCTGGACTTCCAGGAAAGATTTTTTCGTGGGGGGCGGGGTTGAGACAGGGTCTCACTATGTAGTTGAGACTGACCTGGAACTCACTTTGTAGCCCAGGATGGTCTCTAACAGTGATCCTCCTCCTGCCTCAGCCTCCCAAGTGCTAGGACTGCAGGTGTACGCCACCACGCCCGGCTCCAGGAAAGATTTTGAGTGTGAGGCCACCGAGGCCCTTTGTCAGGAATGGTTTTTCTGAGACAGTCTCACTACTATAGTCCAGGTTGACCTTGAATTTGCAGTGATCCTCCTGCCTCAGCTTCCCAAGTGCTGGGATTACAGGCGTGCGCCACCATGCTTGGCTCTGTCACAGATTATAATGTCTTGCTGAAAGATTTTGTTATGTTTTTGCTTTTTAGAGAGGGTCTTGTTATGTAGTCCAGACCAACCTTGAACCTTGAGTTTACTAGGTAGCCCAGGGTGGCCTCAAAACTCATGGCAATCTTCCTGCCTCAGCCTCCCAAGTGTGGAGATTACAAGTGTGAATCAACACGAGAGGGTGGAAAATTGTTTTACAAGAAAAAGTGATTCAGTTCTTCCTCTGTAACAGGCGACTCCATGGTCTTGGAGGCAGACGTCAACATAGAAGGGCTCAACACAGCCAACGAGACAGGTGTGCCCATCATGGCCCATCCCCCGGCTATCTACAGTGACAACACGCTGCAGCACTGGCTGGAGACCGTGCTGTCCCGTTCCCAGAAGGGTAAGGGCCCTCCGGGACTGGAGGTTCCTCTGTGGGAGTGCTCGGCCTCACCTGCCCCTCCCAATGCTCCAGAGGCCCAAGCTCAGGGAAGACGGGGCTGGGGGAGCACACGTTCAGCTCCTGTCGTCTCAGCTGAACCCCCAGAGACTAGAAGTGCACAGGGCACCGCACTCCTAGACCCCAGGCCAGGTACTACAGGCTCGAAACCGAATTGCACCTTGCTGCCCTGGGAGTCCCATTGCGGTTACACGTAGGATCATCTATCTTTTATCTGTCTATGCAAGACTAGGGACTGAACCCAGGGCTCTACACTAAATTATCTCCTCAGCCCTTTTTATTTGCCCTGGTGGGACTCAAATCTGCAACCCTCCCGCCTCAGCCTCTCAAGTATCAAGTGGCTGGAATTACAGGCCTAGGCCATATCTAACTGTAAGCCTAGTCCCAACCATGTCCTCTCTCTTGGGGACCCCCTTCCTCATTCAGCTCTATCTTCCTTGGCTACGATTCCCACACCCTTGGCTGATCCTTCCCTGCTTTATACCTCTGTGGCGGCCATTGTGCCGGCCTTGTTGCCTCACTCACTGGCTCTTGTCCCTGTCTGCTCGGCTCTGTGTTCTCTTCCTGGGGGCCGAGTGACCCCCTTTGGGACTCTGGTGTCTTGGGTCCCTCTGAGCCTGCTCTGTCCAGGAATCATGGCCCCTTGGTCAGCTGCCTCAGCTGCAACCCTTCTGGGTGACTCTGCCTATATAGCAGCTGTCCTCACCCTGGGCCCCATCTTCCCAACTCCCCACCCCCTTCCTGGCTTCTGGGCCTGTTCCTCAAGCCCTTGCTTCCTTCCCACAGGCATCAAACTAGACTTCAAGAGTCTCAAGGCTGTGGGCCCCTCGCTAGGCCTCCTTCGGCAGCTGACAGATGCCGGCAGGGTACGGAGGCCCGTGTGGATCAACGCCGACATCCTGCCTGGTCCCAACAATCCCATCTCAGTTCCGGTCAATGCCACACAGTGAGTGTTCACCACTATGGAAGGGGAGCCGGGGGGACCTTTGCTGAGTGGGCTTCCATTCCAGTCTCACCTCTAACCCTTTGCATGGTTCCTCAATCTGACGCCTCTTCTTCCCCCTTTCTGATGAGCCTCAGCCTGGCCACTGCTGCCCTCAGAAACATCCCAGTCACCCCAGGGTATGGAGAGACTTCCTGTGGGCTCACCCCTCCCCAGTTGCATCCTGACAGCCCCGATCCCACTGGGCGGTCACCTCTGTTTTATGGTTTGTCATCCCTGGTGCACAGGGGCTCCTGGACAGCAAGCACGGCCAAGGCCTCCCTGCTCCACAGTGACAAGCACAAGACTTGGCTTGCTAGAAAAGCCCACAACCCTGACTCCCTCCCCACCCCCTGCAGGTCCAGCCCTGCCCCTCCACAGCAGCTCTGGGTCTGCAGAGGGTTAAGGAGCCGGTACATTCAATTTGACACTTACACCCGGCACCCGCCAGATTGGTAGTTTCTCCTCCCCGTTTGTAGATGCGAAAGCTCACAGGAATTGAGGCTGGAGTTGTCAAGTGTTTATTATGTATCCCAGGCATGGCTCTAAGCACTTAGTGGCAGAATACCATTAACTCTTACAATGAAAACGAGGTAGGTGCTATGCTTTTCATTTTATAAATACAGGCACTGTCTGGTAGAAGTCACATGACCTGCCTAAATCTAAAAGTAGCAAAGATTAAGGCCTTTCTGGTGCTAAGCTCTGTGCTCTTTGACCCTCCATCTCTCCCTCCACCCAACACATGGAGCTACACTTGGGAAGCAGCAGTTTGAAAATGTAGTCCTCCGCCCAAGATAAATATGGCTCATTTCTTGCAGTGTTCATTGTACTCATTTCCCTCACTGGGGAGGGGTGATTGGACAACTCCCATCTGCCTATGAAGATTTTCACATCAGGGCAAAAAATCAAATAACTCTTTTAGAGACTTGAAGCTGGCAGAACCCAGGCCTGCACCACCCAAACTCCAAAGTTCCTCCCTGGTTTGTGAGACCACAAACAGCACTCCTGTGTGTAGGGCTTCGCTGCCACCCTTGTATCACAGACCCCACAGACTCCGCCCCTTCCTCCCACTGAACACCCAAGAGGGAGGAAGGGGCCAGCAGGACTCTGCAACCCAGCTTCTGCTGCTCTGCAGGTTTCTGGCGCTGGTGCAGGAGAAGTACCCCAGGACCACCCTGTCCGTGGGCTGGACCACCCTTTATTTAGGCCCGGTCCACACCAGGCCTTACACCAAGGCCATGCTGGAAGAAATGCATGCGCTGGTGGGATCCGTGCCACAGAAGGTCACCTTCCCTGTGCGGGCTGTCATGGTGCGGGGTGCCTGGCCTCACTTCAGCTGGCTGCTGGACCAATCTGAGAGGTAAAAACCCCGAGGGTCCCATCACAGCCCCTGCTGGCTGCAAACCCACCCCCAGACTCTAAATACCACACCAGCCCCATTGGCCCCCACGCTCTTGCTTCTCTGTCCTTGTCCCTTTCCTAAGACAGGACTGAGAAGCAGGCCTTTCACTTGGGCACCACCTACCTCCGGTGCTTAGGGAAGGAGGGGCTGGTGGGAAGCCAGGCCGGAGGATAGATGCTCCTCGGCCTGTCTAGGGCCCCATTCTGAGAACAGGCGTGGGGCCAAGGGCGTTCCAGCTCCCAGGAAGGCACTGACCCAGCTCTCTGAACCCAGGTACACCCTGACACTGTGGCAGGGCAGTGTGGACACTGTGTCAGTGGATGATCTCCTCTATATCCGGGACAACACAGAGGCTCACCAAGTCTACTACGATCTCTTCGAGCCTGTCCTGTCACAGTTCAAGCAGCAGGCCTGTAAGGAGGGAGCCTGGAACGGGACAAGGGCTGACTGCACGGGGCAGCCCTTTGTGGACACGGGGACAGAGCCGAGGGGAAGCGAGGAATCTTGGGTAGAAGACGAGGCAAATCTTTTTGAGTAGTGGTGTGTGTTCACCCTAGGGTGGGTGGTATACCTTCAAAGCTTCACACAGCCATGAAGCTGGCATTCAGCTCAGGACAGCTAAGGAATTTATAGTCTCCAGGCTCTTTCAAGGCAGTTCAGGTGGGAACTTAGCAAAGGGCAAAGCCTGCATGCTCTCCCTAATATTTTCAGAGAGCACAGCCTCTCCCTGTGCCTGCTGTCATGTTCCAGAAGCTCCTAAGAGAGCCCGCAGTGAAGCCACCCCAAGGTGTCCCATCAGATAACCTTCCTGTCAAGGGAGCCACAGTGACAGGGAGGGATGTCATCTTTGGGGACAAGCGGCTCTAGTCCCACCAACTCTCTCACTAATGCAGAGTCTCAGGCAGATCTCCATTTTGTAATCTACTGAAGTGGGAAATGGCAGCTACCTGGTGTTTTGTTTTGGGGTACCGGGGATCAAACTCAGGTCCTTGCACTTGCGAGGCAGGCAGCGAGACCACTGAGCTAAATCCCCAGCCCTCTGGTGGGTTGTGATGAGGCTTAATAGAATACGTCTGGGCTCAGGCGTACAGAAGGCACTCTGTGAACAGCAGTCACTTCATCCGGGTACTCTGGGGCTCCACAGTGAACGCCACAAGGAAGCAGAAGTACTACACAGGTGGCAGCCTGAAGCCTCTTCTCCAGCCACTAGGGGGCGATGGTCTGAGCTTAGAGTGGCTGGTTCCAGAAGTCCACAGCAATGGGACAGCAGCAGAGCTTACCCTCCCAGGTAAGTGGAGACAGCCTTGGTGCTCCTAGCTGATCTCTGGGGGTGTCCTATGCTTGAGAGAGTACTGTGGGTCCGTTATCATGGCCACACAGGCCCAGGTAAGCCACGTACAGGATACAAAGTATAGGGTGGGAGGGAGGGTGCTCCTGGCCTTCATCCAGTGCCCTCCAGTCCTTAGCCACAAGATGCTATAGGAGGACCGGGTACAGGCCCAGGTCGGAGCTTCACAAAGGCCAAGGGCTGAGCTAGCAGCTGACTGTGAGTCTGGTGAGTACCAGCAATAGTATGCAGAGCCCAGATCAAGGCAGCAGATTCCTGAGAGGTGGCACCAGCTCTTCGTCCTCCCTAGGTGTCCCTGTAACCCTCCACTGCACCTTTAGCAAGGGTCTCTAACATCCCATGATGGCCCAACCTAGCCCCTGTTGCCTCTTGCAGACAAAGATGGCATGATCCTGCTGGACGTCAGCCTCCAAGGAGCTGCAGCCGGGAATCCTGTGCCTGTCATAGCTGCCCGCAGTGACCCTGCCCTGACCCTGGAGTCGTCCCTGCTGCAGCTGGCCACACGCCCCGGACATTGGGGTGTCCACGTGAACATAGCAGAGCCTGCAGCCCTCCGGCCAGTCCTGACCACACTGGCACACCTCTCCTCCCTTGGCCATCTGCCTCGTCCTGTGTGGGTTGGGGCATCCGTCTCATATGGCAGTTTTGTGGTCCCTGGACACGTGGACGGCAGAGAGCTGATCACAGCTGTAACTGACATTTTCTCCCATGTGACAGTAGCCCCAGGCTGGCCTGAAGAGGTGCTGGATAGCGGCTATGGGGAACAGCAGGTCACAGATATGCTAGAGCTGTGTCAGGGGCTCTGGCAACCTGTGTCCTTCCAGCTGGAGGCAGGGCCCCTGGGCCAAAGCAAGGCAGAAGTAGTGGCCAGGCTGCTGGCAACCTCCCCCAGGGCCACTGTCACCATGCAAAATAGCCATGCCGGGAGCAGCCCTGCAGCTGTGCAGGTAGGGCTGCTGGCAGCCAGGGCTGAGGACAGAAGCCGAGTCTACTACAGGCTGCCCCAGGACCAGCGCCAAAACTTGCTGGCAGATGTTGGCAGGAACTGATTGCCTGGCAGTGCTGGGCTGAGGCTTCTCGAGGGAGGCAGGATGAATAAACCTTCCTCCTTGCTCTGTGTATGAGTCCTTGGGCAGGATAGGGTGGACACCTATAGGGTCTGGAGGCTGGGGGCCAGGTCATTCCGGTTGTCCAGGAGGAAGTGCTCACACTCCTTGAATGTGGAGTAGAATTCTGAGGATAGGCCGGCCACATTGGTGGTCACGTAGTTGAGAAAGCCAGGGGTAGCCTGGTTGTAGTAGGACACCTGGAGGGCAGAAGCTGTGCTCAGGAGGGGACAAAAGGAAGGCATGGGACACTGGGGATGCCCAGCTTCCAGGAGGGCGGCAACCACAAGCCAGCTCCCTGGTACCCTGAAGGTCAGTTAGAAACCTGTCCAGCTGGCAGGCAAGACTTCCACCGCCAGGTTCCCCTTAACCCTCCCTCAGGTGCTGACGGTCACCGGCATCTTCCCTGCCAACCAGGAGCCCCTAGTGGGTCCCCAGAATGGAGCACTGAATCCACTTTAGGATGCTGTGGGGCCACTGATGCCAGACATAAGCCCAGGGACCACTCCAAAAAGCTCCTGGGTAGAAGTGTATAATGTAGCAGCCACTCACTGAGTCCCCTCTGGGGCTGCAGAAGCTGGGAGCCATGCAGGGAGCTGTGGCACCTGCCCCTTCCCCACCTTTTCAATCAACATCCACTGCACTGATGAGTTTTATGGGCCCTGGGAGCCACATAAAGCTTTCCTGGAGGAGAAGTGATGTCCAGGTAAAGAGATAGGATTTTGAGATGGACCTGATCTGCGTGCAGCCTCAGAGCTTTCTGAAGCCCGAGGCAGCTTCCAGCTCTCCTGGCTGGGACAGGGAAGAGGGTGGAGGTAGCGGCGGGGTCTGGAATGGTCCTGCCCCAACAGCACTGGGCTCAAGAATGGAGTCTCACCTTGGTCATCTGGTCCCCCTCGCGCCACAGGCAGAAGCCTGAGCACAGTGTCTCCCCGCGGCGGTACTCAGGCACCTCAGGGTGTGTGGGCAGCGTGACCGACCTCAGCGCAATGATGTAGGGCTCCCTGGAGGGGAAGCAGGGCCGGAACGGGGTGAGGGTCTCCCCAGCCCAGCATGAGTTCTCAAAGCTGATGACTGGCTAAGGGCCAGGCTGGAGAGGAGGCACAAGACCCAGTGCAGGGTCTCAGGAACCGGAGTGACCGCTGGGGGTTTCTGGTGAGGCCCTTCCACCCTGGACATGCTGGGAAGAGTTGTGGAGTTTTGTTTGACACTGGGTCTTACTGTGTAGTTCAGGCTGGCCTCAAACTCCGTGATCTTTCTCCCTCAGCCTCCCAGAGTGCTAGGTCACAGGTATGCACCGCTGCACCTGGCTTGAGATTTTTGTTCTCCCCTTTCTGTCCTTGTCTATAGCAGGAGTGAAGCCATCTGTCCTGGCCACCGACCAACACAGCTGGCAAGCTCACTGCCTCCAGCCACACAGGCTTCCAGGCAACAGCAGCCAACAGGTGGCCATGTGAGCAGTGTTCCGTTGGTGACCTTGGGTGAGGCGGCCTTGGCCGCTCAGGTCATAGCTGGCCCTGCTTTAGGGCATCAGTGTGCACCTTTGGCCTCCGCTCTACCCCAGCAAACCCACAGCAGCCCAGAACCTTGTGGCCTGGGGTCCCACAGCCAGGGGGAAGCAAAGCTCTGACTCTAGGCTGAGCCCACCACACCGGCCACTCTGCTGCACCCCCTGAAAGCAGGCACCTACCAGGTGTCACAAGGCTTCCGCCGCGAGGCCAGGATCACAAAGTCCTGGGGCTTGGTGTCGCCGCCGAGGCCAGGGCTGACGACATGGTAGATGGCATCGTCCTCGTCCACCTGCTGCAACAGCTCCGCACTCCTATGGGGACGCCGCAGCTCAGGGCTGCCAGGCCTCCGTGCCGAACACGAACCGCCCACCCAGTTCCCGTGCCCCACACTTCACCCTGAGCTGCTCCACAGGCCTGAGTGGGGCAGCGGGAGGGGCCGGCCAGGGAGACACACAGGGAGTGGTGGGCACACGAGCAGATGTGCACAGACACACAGGCAGAGGGACACAACAAAGAGGCAGGCGCACACACACACACACACACACGCGCGCGCGCGCGGACACAAGAATGAAGCCCCGAACGGGCACTTGCACACACGGGGGCACACGTGGGTGAGCACAGATCCACGTGTCTGTGCCTGTCTGGTGTACACACTCCAAGCAGTCCTGACAATCTGGAGGTTGTATTTAATATTCAGTGAACACCCACTGTGTGCCAGGCGCTTTTCAGTGTTACATCACTGAATCTCCACAACATCCCCCGGCAGTGGGGCACAGCATCGTCCTTCATAGATGAGGGACACTCGGAAAAAACCTGTCCCCGGCCACAGAGCTGATGAGGAAGTGGCTGGGTGGTAGAGCTGTAACGCAGGGCCCAGCCACATGGGGGTATGCACATGCCGGGGTCTGTGTCAGTACACCCATGTGTGCACAAAAGGACTCAGGATGAGTGGCCTGTCCACGTCCACCCCCTTCTCTTCAGCCTCCCCTGCACCGGAAGCTGCCTCGGGAGTATGGCGGCACCAGGAGAGCCGGCCAGGGGTTCTCTCTCCTCTCCACCAGTCCGACCAAGCACCCAAAGCTGACCTGGCCCACACCCACCTGTCTCCTCCAGCCCCCTGTCCCCACCCACATCCCCACCAGTCACCTCCCAGGCCTCTGGGATGTACCGGCAGCAGGCTGGCCACCCAGACCAGGGCTATTGAAGGCCACACAGACCCTTTGGCCAAGATGCCTGGGCCGGAAGCTCTTGTACAGAGCCATGAGTGGCCCACTCTGGTGGGGACACTCAGGGAAGACTCGCCAGACACACACCCTTCTTAGGGAGCTCCTCGGGACACCTAGAGATGGTCCAAGACCCTAGAGCCGGGGTGCTGGCGTAACAGGAAATGGCTTTGAGAGTGTCCAAAACCACCAGTTCACACATACAAACACTGAAGTTTTGTCCATTCTCCTGAAAAAGTATTTATCTTGAGTAAATTTAAGAAAATATTTATACAAAGAGTAAATGTGGGGAGCATTTGTATTGATAGTCGTATTAAAGAGGAACCCATTCACGCACCTGTTAGAAGAATCTGCAAACTCGGTGGACTCTGCAATTTGGCCATTTTGTTCCCTGGCCTGAACCTCGGAAGGGTTCCATGCACCCCTCTGCCTTCCAACCCCACTGCTAGCGATCCCTGAGTCCCCACAGAACACAGCTTGAAAGTCACTCTAACATGTCTGAGTGCAACCCAACGCTCTCCAGGCACAGCGCCACTGAGCTACATCCCTGGACATCAAGTATCCATTTTAATATGGAGGAAACTGAGGCCCGGAAAGGAAGTGACTTGCTCAAAGCACGCGGCCAGCAGGGACAGGAACAGGACAAACCTAGGCCTCCAAGTTCAAGCCCAGGCTCAGCGTTTTCTCTGAGGGCTCACCTCACTCACCACCCTCATCCCACCTATGTGTGCCAAGCCCAGCCAGCCTGCCCGACCACACAGGAGGCCCCCCAGGCTGAGGGACACAGCCCACCCGCGCCCAGCCCTCACCGGTAGTGCCTGTCCCACTCTGGCCTCCGTCGCAGGTCCGAGAGCAGCAAGAAGGCCTGGGCAGCATCCACGTGCACCACCATCTCCAGGTGGAAGGACAGGAACCTGTCCTCCTCCAGGGTGTACAGGCGGACCTGCCCAGGCAGACGCAACCTCAGTCCCGCTGTGCTGGCCAGGGGTGGCCTGTTGGGACACTGTGTCACTGCCAACAAGTGACTGAACCCCTGGGCTGGGGCAGATGGACTCAGAGAATGTAGCAGAAATGGACATCGATCAGCAACTGAGGCAGCAATGCCATGGACCCTCTGTGCTGGGGCCCCAGCCTAATGTCAGATGTGGGGAAAGAACCCACCCAGGGGCCCAGTCCAGAATAGCAGAGCTCAGGCCTGCTCAGCCTGTCCCCTGCCCCGTCCTGCAGTGATTGCAGGCCAGGGCGTCTCCACTCCAGCCTATCTCTGGAGCTCCAAGAAAGGCTGCTTCACAACCTCCTGTGGCCACTCAGAAGGGACAGGAGGAGGGGGTGGTCTCAGCTACCTGGCTGATCTCCGAGGACAGCACCCAGTTGCTCTTGGCCACGAGCATCTTTAGGGAGGACACGTTGTTGTAGCTCAGGTATACCTGGGGAAAGCACACAGGATGTTCCCTTTGGCTCCCCGGGTCAAGGCAGCACAGGATGTGGGAGAGGAGCTGGCACCAGGAAGATGGGGTTACTGGGGAGAGAGGCCTGGGCTTGGAAAGGGAACTCCGGGCTGGTCCAGAGCCCCACTGACACCATTACCTTGTGGCAGAGGGTTTCCCACAGCCCTGATCCCTGCTTTGACCAGCAGGGGAGGGTGCAGGACACTGCTAAGGCCTGAAGACTGTCCCCTCACAGCACAGGGCCTTACCTGGTTGCTAGGATCCCAGGGGACAGAGAGGGGCACCTCCGCCTGCTTACAGGACACGATGTACTTCCTGGGAGGGGAGACGATGGCACAATGGGTCCCTGGGCAGCCTCCTGCTGGGCCCGAGGGTCGGGGCCAGAGAGTGAGCGGGCAGGAGGGGGAGGGTTTGGGGATGACCAGGACAGGACAGCCGCTGAGAGCTGGACTTCAGCCGGCTCAGAGGGACAACCTGGGAGGCAGTAGCTGAGGGCTGAGTCCCCACACCCTGGCACAGTGACTTCACCCTGTCACTGGTGTCCTCCTCTGAGAAGTGGGACAGGATCTCCACCCGGAGCACAGTGCTGACATGCGGGAAGTGTTCCACTTGTGGGCACCTTTCTTCCCTTCCTTCCTTCCTCACTCCCTCTCTCCTTCCTTTTTCTTTTTTTTTTTTTTTTTTTTTTTTTTTGAGACAGGGTCTCGCTATGTAGTTGAGACTGACCTGGAACTCATTGTGTAGTCCAGGCTGGTCTCCAACTCACAGAGATCCTCCTGCCTCAGCCTCCCAAGTGCTGGGATTACAGGCGTACGCCACCACACCTGGCTTTTTTTTTTTTTTTTTTGAGACAGGGTCTCGCTATGTAGTTGAGACTGACCTGGAACTCATTGTGTAGTCCAGGCTGGTCTCCAACTCACAGAGATCCTCCTGCCTCAGCCTCCCAAGTGCTGGGATTACAGGCGTACGCCACCACACCTGGCTTTTTTTTTTTTTTTTTTGAGACAGGGTCTCGCTATGTAGTTGAGACTGACCTGGAACTCATTGTGTAGTCCAGGCTGGTCTCCAACTCACAGAGATCCTCCTGCCTCAGCCTCCCAAGTGCTGGGATTACAGGCGTACGCCACCACACCTGGCTTTTTTTTTTTTTTTTTTGAGACAGGGTCTCGCTATGTAGTTGAGACTGACCTGGAACTCATTGTGTAGTCCAGGCTGGTCTCCAACTCACAGAGATCCTCCTGCCTCAGCCTCCCAAGTGCTGGGATTACAGGCGTACGCCACCACACCTGGCTTTTTTTTTTTTTTTTTTGAGACAGGGTCTCGCTATGTAGTTGAGACTGACCTGGAACTCATTGTGTAGTCCAGGCTGGTCTCCAACTCACAGAGATCCTCCTGCCTCAGCCTCCCAAGTGCTGGGATTACAGGCGTACGCCACCACACCTGGCTTTTTTTTTTTTTTTTTTGAGACAGGGTCTCGCTATGTAGTTGAGACTGACCTGGAACTCATTGTGTAGTCCAGGCTGGTCTCCAACTCACAGAGATCCTCCTGCCTCAGCCTCCCAAGTGCTGGGATTACAGGCGTACGCCACCACACCTGGCTTTTTTTTTTTTTTTTTTGAGACAGGGTCTCGCTATGTAGTTGAGACTGACCTGGAACTCATTGTGTAGTCCAGGCTGGTCTCAAACTCACAGAGATCCTCCTGCCTCAGCCTCCCAAGTGCTGGGATTACAGGCGTACGCCACCACACCCAGCCTTCTTTTCTTTTTTGAGACAGGGTCTCACTTTGTAATTCCAGCTGACCTTAAACTTATTATGTAGCCCAAGATGGCCTTGCACTTAAGGCGCTCCTCCTACTCAGCCAAGTTCTGGGATTACCAGGGTACTCCATCATGCCCACTTTCCTGCCCTATTTCTCTTTCTCTTCATCTTTCTTTCTTTCTTCTTTTCTTTTTCTTTTTCTTTTTCTTTTTTTTTTTTTTTTTTTTTTTTTTTTTTTTTTTTTTTTTTTGTCGTGCTGAAGATTAAACACAGGACCTTCACACTCAGCTGCATTCCCAGCCCCCCTCCTTTTTTTGAGACAGGTATCATTAAATCACTAAGTTACCCAGCTGGGTTTAAACTTGAGATCCTCCTGCGTCAGCCTCCCAGCCTTCTGGGCTTACAGCTCCACTGCACACTTTCCTGATTCACAGGGCCTGTGTGCCTGGCATGTTCTCAGCACCCTGCAGTTGCAAGGCTTTCCCACAGCAGAGTTGGACACACTAGACTCACGGCCTGAGCACCTGTATGTCCTCTCTCAACCTGTCTGCCTTTCTCTGCCAATAGAAAAACACAGGATTTACAATCACCTGCCCTGGCTGGCTGTTGGTGCCACCTGTCTGGGTGCTGGTGGGAGAGCCATCAATCCCCTCTGCCCCCATGTCAGGGCCTGCATTACGGATCACAAGCCAGCTGTGAAAGGCGCCAACAGGAATGGGTGTGTGGGTGATAGGGGCCTAGGCCAGGGCTCGGCAGGCCCACAGATCACAGTGCCCCAGGGTCTTAGCACCGGGCACAGCCCCACACGTGTGCGCCCCCACGGCCCACCCCACTCACCTGTCCAGGCGGATCTTCTTCCTGGCGCTGGCCTCTCGATACCTCCGCTCACCCTCCTGGGGAGGAAACAGGGACAGGATGTGGCACACGGACAGCCAGGGAGCCCTGCAGCCCCGGCAGGAGCCTGGGTCTCACCAGGGAGCTGGAGTCAAAGGATCCTGGCCAGGAAAGTGCTGAGCACCAGCTGTAGCCCCAACTCCCCTGGGAGGCCCTGAGTGACGGCGGGAAAACCACCTCCCCTCACCGGGCCTCAATGTCCCCCATCACAGAGGGACCCTCAGAGGGCACCACTGCCCCGGCCTGTGCACCCAGGCTTTGCTCTGGACTGGGCCCTTGAGAAGGCTGCCCACTCCTATGGCAAGTCCCAGAGCTGGCACACACTCTCTCCACAGCACAGACGGGGAAAGCAAGTCTGAGAGGCTGGAGTGGCCTGGAACACAGTATGGAGCAGAACACAGAGGGCCTCACTCAGAGCACACCCTCATCACCATCACCTCGGAAGTCCCCATGCATGAGTGTGGAAGGCAAGTGCTAGCTAGCGTGTGCCTGTGATTACAGCTACTTGGGAGGCTGAGGCAGGAGGACTGCCAATCCTAGGGCCAGCCTGGGCAACCTAGCAAGACCCTGTTTCAAAATAAAAAGCAAAAAGAGATGGGGCTGCAGCTCAGTGGTAGAGTACACACCTAGGAAGTACCTGGGAAGGTGATGTGGCTCAGCTCCCCTCGGTCCCCTCCACCACTAACCACCGCCACTGCCCAGCTCCACACCAGACACGGGCTAAGGTGGCTGCATCAGCCAGGAGGCGGGTGGGCAGGGCGGGACCTTCCCGCAGAGAGGGGCCTTGCCAAGTCACCCCCTGCCCACAGGAAACGGGAGCAGCCTTTCTCCAGCCACAGCCTTTAGCCCAGGCCCCTGGCTGTGACCCCCGCGTTCCCCCGGTTCCCCACAGACCTGGAGGCAGGGGCTGCAGTGGCACCACTTCCAGATGGCACTGCAGCTCACCAAGGGCCCCATTCCTGGCACAGGGCCGAGGGGGGAGCTAAGGTGGGCAGGGCGCTGCCTCCACTTACCCCAGGCTGGGGCTGGATCCAGGGCAGCTTCTGGGGCTGATCGTCTGTGTCCAGGACCACGAAGGTCATGAAGGCACTGTTGATGTGCCGCCAGCGGGGCTCGGCCTCCTGGCGATAGGCCTCCACACACACGCCCACCTCCATGCTGGTGGGGAGGAGGACAGAGGTCCCCAGGGCCACACGTGCACATGCACGGTACACACAGAACACACAGATGCACACACACATGCACACACTGCCCTGCGGTTCTTCCTGCTTCCTGGACCACAGTCCTACTGGCGGGGCCCCAGAGGCACCCTGCCCATCCGTGTTTACAGAGCACCTACTGTGTGCCCGGTCTGGGGACACAGATGTGAGTAAACCTGTCCAGTACATGGGCTAACACCAGGGGAGCAAACAACAAATGAGGAAGCAAAGAGAACGCAATTCTAACCTCAAAGGGTCCAAGAGGACACAGGCCGCCAGGGGAGGTGGCTGGATGAATTAGGAACATCACTTGTTATAGAGGTTCTCCATTGCTGCCATCTATGCATGGCTTATTACCTTTATTAATTATAAAAGGGCAGCCACAGCTGGGCATGGTGGCATAGGTCTGGAATCCCAGCATTCTGAGAGGCTGAGGCAGGAGGATCTTAAATTTGAGTACGGCCTAGCCAACTTAGCAAAATCTTGTCTCAAAATAAAAATAAAAAAAGGGATAGGGATGTTGCTCCCTGTGAAGGCCCTGAGTTCAATCCCACTACTGCATAAATAAATACCCATAGCCACTACTATTCACCACATCTTAGGAAGTTCTGTGATCACAGAATGTGCACTGAATACAAATGGGGAGACAAAGACTGAGACCGGGCCACAATTTGCCCAGGGTCACAGAGCCAAGCAGGGAGAGGGTCTGGTGATGGCAAACCTGTGCTGGGCAGACTGCACCTGCCAGCTGGGGTGGCCGGCCTCACCCACGGGGGCGATACACTGAATGCACAGTGTGCCCACCGGCAGGGGAGTCCAAGGGAGGGACCCTGACAGGCCAGTGAGCCCCGGGGAGCACAGAAGGGTCCTCAGGAGCTATGCATACTAGCACAGATGAGGGGGCCCAGCCCGGGCAGGGCACCCTCGGCACCCACCCCTCACCTGTGCTTGAAGGCGTTGTTCACGATGGCCTTGAGCACAAGGCGGTCCCCGACCTGGGATGGGCCCCGGAAGTGGAACATCTCGATGGCCTTCAGCGTGGGGTGGGCCCGGCAGAGGCGGCTGAGGGGACAGGAGAGACACCCCAGGGCTGCGGAGCCAGCCTTCTCCCCAACCCAGCCTGGAACCTGGCAGACTGCTGGGACCGGCCCAGGGACAGCTCTCCTCAGAGGACAGCCTTAAAGTCCCCACTCACAGCTCCCACACTGAGGTGTACGTGCAGGGCTGGGAAGGAGCGGCGTCCAGGACAGCAGAAGGAAGTCCAGGACAGGACTTAACACCTGCTGTCCCACCGCCCGGAAGTCTCCCCTCCCCAAAGTTCCAGCCATTCAAGCCGGTGCTCCCCCTCCAGGAAGCCTTCCCTGCCTGCCCACCGCATCTCACCCCTCAGCCCTGAGAGCGTACAGCGCTCCCAGCCCAGGCTGCAGAACAGCGCTGCTTCCCCACTGTCTCCCCAGGTCAGTCACAGAGCTCAGGCTGCCTGGCAAGGCCCCCAGGATGAGGCAGAATCGCCTAGCAGAGGAGGGCATGGAGAGGGAGCAGCAAGGACAAAGTCATGGCGGCTCTAAAGTGTCAACTCGGGAGTGGCTGCTGTCATCCGATGCTTAACAGCCCTGAACAAGGGCAGAGATCCCAGATGATGGAAAACAGAAATCGCTTTCACCACTAGGAGGAAGAGTCAGGGGCAGCTTGGCCAGGCAGGGGGCGGGCAGGCTGCCAGCAGGCAGAGCACAGTGGGCTGCAGGATGTCACACGGAGAAGCAAGGCAGGGCTAGAAGTGGTGGGTGGGACAGGGAACGGCCAGTGGCTGCTTCCAAGGAGTACATTTATCAGGAAGGGTGCAGGCAAGGCCAAATTACGGGTTTCTGGGGCTTTTGTTTTATTGTTTTGGTTTTGGTACCAGGGATCGAATACAGGACCTTGCACTTGTGAGGCAGGCACAGTGCCACTGAGCTAAATCCCCAGCCCAAGGGTTTGTTTGTTTTTTGTTTTTGCAGTGCTAGGGATTGAACCCATGGCCTGGCGCATGCTAGGCAAGTGTTCTACCACTGAGCTACATCCCCAACCCAAAGTTGACCAAGGGGAGGCTTGCCCGGGAAGCCAAGGGGACTGTGATAGAATTTATGAGTAGAAGAATGAATGGCCAGCTGCCAGGAAATCGTTTCTCTCAGGGAAAGCCCTGAGAAAACCCTAACAGAGCTTCTGAAGCCTTGAATGGCAACAACAGGGGAGCAAAGAAGAGGCCACACCCTCACCTGGCTGCAATGGTGGCCACATTCTCCATCCAGGCCATGATCTGGCCCCCAAAAGTGTTTCCCTGGTGATTGGCATGGGGTGGCAAGACCAGCTCCACACTCTCCACCCGGGTCTTCTCGGCCGGCACCATACGGCTACAGTCCTTGCTCTCAGGGTCTGGCCAGGGCAGGAGGAGGGGAGGTGAGAGGTCCCCCCAGGCAATCCTGGGGCCCCATGACACTGAGTAAGCAGGAGGCACAAGCCAGTCCTGGGCAAGGGGCAGAGGACACAGACGAGGAACACAAGCCTGTCACAGGCGGTGGACAGGACCCCCACTTTGAGTCTGGTCTGAATCCCAGAACTCCCCACTCAGGGTGTATGACCTTGGGCCAAGCACAGGAACCCTCTGGGCCACACCTGCCCCCTGCCCACAGCGCAGGTGTTGATTCCATCCCAACAGTGCTCACACTCGCGCCAGGTAAAGTGTGGCTGGGGTTAGAGGGGTCATATGGGAGGGCGCACACCCCACTGTGGTGCCACACAGAGTGAATACAGGGACAGCTGGGCCAGGAAGCAGGCGATGGCACCCAGCTGCCTGGGTCAGGGGGGATTCAGTGGGGCTGTGATGAGATGGAGGGGACCCGGGGGGCCAAGGACTGGGAGCTCAGCTGGCTATGATCCCCACCCAGGCAGCTGAATGGCTTTGCTTGTGCTGAAGTTTCCTCCCGGGGTTTCAAGCAAGACCCCCAAGTGGATAACCCTAGAGACTAGTAAGGAAACCCCCGCCCACACCCAGACTGTGCCCTCTCTTGGAAACCTCTCCTCCTCTCTCCACCTGACAGCACCCTCCTCCTCCGAAGGAGATCTTTGTGTGCTGATCCAGAGCCACCTCCAAGAGACATTTTAGGGAGGAAATCAAGCTACAGAACGTGTGCCGTAGCTCCCTCCTGGGTAAGAACAGGGGGCTAAAGAAGACATTGGACGCTGAAATATTCAGGGAGCACTTCTGGGAAGATACTCAAAACCGGGATGTGGGTTCTGGGGTGGGAGGGAGTCTCACTTCTTATCTCTATCTTCTTTGGGAAATGGGAAATAGGCACACACACACACATAATCGCAGTGCTTTTCCAAACTACCGAGCCTCACAGCTTATCTCGCTGGGCACCACCTCCCCAAGCACCTCCGCACTGCTGTGGCCAACAAAGGGATTTCCCACAGCCTCGCTCACTCTTCCCAGTCTGGCCACTGGGAAAAAGCCCAAGCACCTCCTTTCCTGGAGGAGACCCTAGGGCCCAGAGGGGCCCAGGAACACGGTAGGGGGATTCTTCCCTGTCTGGTCGGGGGGCCTGGGCAGCCGCAAGTGAGGCCCCTGCAGCCCTCCCTGTGTTCACAGCGGCCGCTCACCGTCCTTAATGGTGCAGTTGGCCAGGAGGTCCTTGATGGTGTCAGCGTAGAGCAGCCGCATGCGTCGGCGCTCTGCAGCCACGCTGTGCTCCGTCTTCTCCTCCTCTGTGCGCGGGGTGATCTGCTTCAGCTTCACCTGGTGGCCAGGGGACGGTGGGGCGCTGGGGACAAGTGTCCCGGAACAGCACCCCCACACTCCCGAGGCTGACACCCCCTGGCTGGGCCCCTCTCTGCCTGCTTCCCTCTGGACTGCTAATCCCTATTCATCATCCACTCCTCCGAAACCCTCCTTGGGCAAAGGATCCAGAGAACAGAGGGTCACTGTGGAAGGTGAGGTTGTTCTAAGGCCGTTCCACCTGTGATGTGCAGGGAGGTGGGGAAGGAGGGGTTGGATGGCCAGGGTGTCCTCTCGGAGCCCGCCATGACAGGTGGTACTGAGGGGCGGCGGCAGCCAGCTACCTTGGACAATTGCTGGTGGGCCACAAAGGTGGCCAGGGCCTTGCACACAGTCCACTGCTTGTCAGAGCACAGGTCCTCGGAGGCCACCTGGATTCCCACCTGGAGACGAAGTGCAGGCAAGAGCACGAGGAAGAAACGGAGCCCGTGACATCGGGGCCCCAGGTGGACGAGACGGGAAAAGCCCACCAGGCCCAGTCTCTGATCTTTCTGTATCACCTGCCAGGTCCCGAAGGCCAGAGACCTAGGTTGGTTCTGGCCCTGCTCCCGGCTCCCCGGAGCACCTGGGCCAAGTCCCTTCCCTTCCCCAAGCCTCAGTTTCCTCGTCTGTAAAGGATACTGAGAAAACTAAAATGACACAGTCCTTCAGAGGCTTTTGGGAGGAAATGTGTTGGTGAGATTTAAAGATGGACCCCTAGGGGTTCCTGGGGGCCCCTGGGCACTGATGGGGGGGTCCAGAGGCACAGTGGGCCTTTATGAGCCCTCAGGAACTGGTGGCCCAGCTGGAGGAAGCCACTTGGGCCTGAGTCCCTGGGGGAAGTAGAAACTGCCAGAGCTCCCCACTAAGTCTGCTCATCAAACCCCCCATGCCCCTGCAACAGAAGAATATGTTCCCATTTTACAGATGAGAAGACAGAGGTGAACCAAAAGCCCAGCACTCTCCCTGCCTCCCAACCAGAACCAGCAGCTGTCTTCCCTCCATTCCCCTGACACCTGCTGCTGGAGACAGGACCTGGGCTGGACCCCCAAGTCCCTGCCCCTTCCTGGGCCTCCATTCCCCTCTGTGCCATAGGATGTTGGTCAGGTAGATCTTTGGCTCCTCTTGGTCCCGCCAGCCTCTCAGGACTCTGCTACCCCAATCAGGGCCCTGGACATGAATGCGCCAGGACTGGGGCTGTAGGAAGGAGAGGAGGACAACAGCCCAGCCCCACCCCACAGGGCCCCCACACACCTCCATGCTGGAGTTGAAGGCCCGGTTCACCTTGGCCTTGATGTTCACCACTTGTCCGACACTGGGGGAGGAAAGCAGGAGGTGAGCCTTCCCTAGAGCACAGGGGAGGGACAGGAGCCTCTGCTGGGGGCACTGGCAGGAACCTCGGGGCTCGCAGAGACAGGGTCTTCACCCCGTTTCTCAGGTGGGGAAGCTGAGGCTGAGAAGTGGCCCGATTTCACTCACACCCTCTTCTCTCCCTCTTTCCCTGCTCCCCTGGTCCAGTTAAGGTTGTCTTCTTGCTCTTGGCTCCCCATTCCCTCCTCAAGCTGGGCCCCTGCTCTCCGTGCCCCTCGGGAGACACCCCCCACCCCACTGTGCCTCTGTCCGTCACCATCCTAAGATCCACGGGAAGAGCAGTGGTGTTCTGCTGTTTCCATGGTGCTGGGGATGAACCCCACTGACTCGGTGGCCCTGTGCTTTGCTCCCTAGCACGTCACACAGGGTGGGTCCCCCATACACTGGGCCGGCTGAGCTCAGGAATCCTGCACTGTCCACCCAGTGTGACGGGAACGAGAGCAGGCAAATGGAGACCATGAGAGAGCACCTGCCGTGTGTCTGGAGAGGCACCAGCCTCATTCCCGCCTCCGCACAAGCTGGGCAGATAGGGTTAGGGGGACTGTGCATCAGAGGCTAAGGCATCTGTCCAAGGCCCCCAGCTAAAAGCGGCAGAGTCAGATACTAGACTGGCTGTGTGGTCTACCAGCCCCATGCTCTCTGATGCAGCCTGACCCCTGGCTGACTCCCACATCCACACAAGTCCCCATGAGGCCACCTAGCCAGCCCCATGCCTACTCAGAGGCAGCGCAGAGTACCCAAGGCTGAGGGGGTCAGGGGCAGGAGGCTGAGCAACCTTGAGAAGTCCTTTCATCTCCGCACCTTAAGTGTGAAGGATAAGGTGGTGATACTTTTTTTTTTTTTTTTGGTACCGGATATCAAACTCAGGACCTTACACCTGCCAGGCAGAAGTGACACCACTGAGCTAAATCCCCGACCCCTGTGGTGACTCTTACTCCTCAAATAACACTGCTCGGCCCAAGCCTAGGAAGGTTCCTTCCCAGGGGCCTCTTGGTCAGACGCTGGCTTGGGTTCCATCAGGCTCAACCCTGACTGTGTCTCGCTATACCGTGTGACCCTGGGCGGATCCCTTCACCTCTCCACGTGTTTTCCCACATGTAAAGTGTGGAGAATGCACGACTACTGCCCGTGCTGCTAAGCGTCAGTTGTGAGGCAGCGTGACCCAGCCACGTGCAGGCCCAGCCCACAACAGGAGCTCAGTTACTTAGACCTGTTCTCGTTGGCCAACACTGGCTGTTCACTGTGAATGTTTTCGGCAGGAGTCGTGGTTAGGATGCAAAGGAAGGTTCTGCTTTAGGAGATACAAGCTGAGGAATAAAGTATCAGAGGGAGAGATGTCCTTATCTATATAGAGATGAAGCAAATTTAGCAAAATGTTAATTATTGGCTCTTAGAAATGGTCACCATTTCACTGGACTTTCTTTTTTTTCTTTCCTTCTTTTTTTGGTTTTTTTTTTTTTTTTTTTTTTTTTTTTTTTTTTTTTTTTTTTGTAGTTGAGATTGCCCTGGAACTCACTATGTAGCCCAGGCTGGTCTCGAACTCACAGCGATCCTCCTGCCTCAGCCTCCCAAGTGCTGGCATTACAGGCATGTACCACCACGCCCGACTTCACTGGACTTTCTATATGTTTAGAAGTTGTTATGATCAAAAATTAGAAAGAAGAGAGGCCAGGGATTTAGCTCAATAGTGCCACTGCCTGCATCACAAGCTCAAGGTCCTGAGTTTGATCCCTGGTACCATAAAAATTAGAAAGACGAAATTCTATGGTCCCCCTCAAAGTACAATACACTCCCTACCTTATCTCTGGTTTCACTTACCTGCAGTTAACTGTGGTCTGAAAATACCAAATGAAAAGTTTCAGAAATAGGCAATTTGCAATTTTTAATAACATTTATTAAAGTATACTGCTATAGTTATTCTATTTTATTATCAACTATTGCAGTTAATATCTTCCTATGCCTAATTTAAGCTTGGTCATAGTTTTGCACGTATAGGAAAAAACATCGTCTGCATGGGGTTTGACACTGCCCATAGCCAGGGATTTAGCTCAGTGGTTTTACCACCTGCCTTGCAAAGTTCGATCCGTGGTACAAAAGAAAAAGAAAAAAAAAAAAAAAAAGGGGATACTGCCCATGGGTTCAGGTACCCACGGGGGGTCTTGGAACACAATCCTGCACATAAAGCGGGACTGCTGCAAAAATAAAAGTTCACTTTCTATGGCACCAAAAGGAAATCTGGGAGGGATCTCAGTGGTAGAGCACTTGCCTAGCACGTACAAGGCCCTCGGTTCAATCCCCAGCACCGCAAACAGAAAGATACGGTGTGAAAAGAGAAATGCGTCACCCTTCTTCCCACGGCTCCCTCTCCCCCTCCTCCTCTCTAGCTCCCCCAGTTCATATTCCCTAAAATACATTCAGGAATTTTGGAGTATTGTTGTTGTTCTTCTTCTTGTTTATCCCATGTTTTGGTTTTGCTTTTTTGTAGTACTGGAGACTGAGTCCAGGGTCTTCCCGCTGAGCTACATCCTCCGCTCTTTTTCTATTTTGTATTATGAAACAGGGTCTCGCTATGTCACTAAAATTGCCCAGGCTGGACTTGAACTTGTGAACTTCCTGCTTCAAATTCCCAGAATACTGGGATTAAGCCCCCATATCACAGTCGGGAAATATTTTTAAACGACGAGAGCAGAAAAAAACAAAATACCCCAGCTAACCACAGGTGTGGCCAGGCCCTTCCCTGCCACCGGGCTCGGGCCCCTCCAGCCCTTCCCTTCTCCCAGGATCTTCCTCACCCCTCCTCTGCCCAGACTCACCTTCATCCCAGGGGGCTGCACTCTACCCAGCACTGGCTCATGCATTGCCCCCACCCAGCCCTTTCAATCCCTGCTCCTCCAAGAAAGGGACCCAGACATGGCCCCACAGGCCTCCAAACTGTCACTGTGTACAGAGCAAGCTCAAACTTCCTCTAAGAAGCTCCCCTTGACCACTCCCAGATATATGGGAAATGTAGTCCACTTCGTAAGAGCAAAACAGCCCGGGCCTGACTAGCTCCTATTTCTCCACTAGCTGACCTTAAGCAAGTTATCTCACTTCTTGCAACTCAGTTTCCTCCTCCGTAAAACGAGGATTCTAACAGCCCTGACCTCACAGTGTTGTTCAGAGGGTTAAATAAGTTAATGCATTTAAAAAGCCTTGCAAATAAGCTATCAACATTGGCTCATTAATTGTCACAAAGGTACCTTCTAGATGCAAGGTAATAATAAGGGAATTGAGTATGGGGTGTATGGGAACTCCACTGTCTTCAGAGATACAACCTGTTTTGTACATCTGAAACTATTCTAAAGTAAAAAAGTACTTAGAACAGTATGAGAAAGCATCCATATGTCAGAGCTCATTGTTGGGGTAGAACTGCCTGCTTTTTTGTCTCTGCTGCTGCACGGGCTGGGAGTCAAGCCAGGGTCTTGCGCTTGCTGAGCACATGCTCAGCCCCAGCCCCAGCCCCAGCTGCCCACTCTGAACGGAAATGATGCTTCTCCAGCAGCCTCCCCTACATCCTGGGAGCTCCTGGGAACAGAGACCGCTCCCCAAGCAGAAAGGCTCCCACCTAACAGTAAGTGCGTAGTAAAGGGCGACCAGGGGAGGACAGGTGACCACACAGTCTCCTTAACCGGGACACAGAGCACCCGGCAGTCAGGAATAAGCCCTGGCACTTGATGGCCTAGGTACCAAAGGCGAGTTAGGGACAGACCCAGATCAGAGCTCTGAGCACATCCGCTGCTGCCTGTCCTGTCGGGGCTCCTCGCATCCCAGAAGCAGGGCTGGCTCTGAGGACAAAGCCATAGTAGCCAGGCTCTGTGCAGTGTGATGAAGACCCTTCATCTCTCTCTCTCCCTCCCTCCCTCCCTCCACTCTGTTTTCAATACCCAGAGCCTCACACGCTAGAAAAGTGCCCTACCATCGAACTACAGACATTTATTTACTTATTTGTGCTAAATCCCAAGTCACCCAGGTTGGGCTCATACTTGCAATCCTCCCACTCCTGCCTCAGCCCCCCAGAGTGTTGGGTTATAGATGTGCACTGCTTTCCAGCCAGTATAGCCATACAAAATAATAACTTGAACAGGCCTGCTTTGCTAAGGGCATCTTCTCCGCCTGCAGGAGGGTGGACAGAGGTTGACTGGCCCAAGCCTCCAACTCTGGCCTCAGTACGGTGCCTGCCTAGGGGTCTCCCAGCAGTCCTGTGACCAGAGAGAATGTCTGAAAACAAAGGCCCAGAGACACAGACTGACTTCCCCAAAGCCACACAGCACTCCAGCAAGTGTAACTCCAAACCCGAAGCAACTTTTCTGGCCCCATCCTGGCTAAGGGAGCCCCTACCCCAAGGCACCCGGCAGGGGTCAGCTCCCAGCCCACCACTGTCCAGACTGCAGACCTCTGCCCCAGTGGCTGCCCTTTTCTGTTCTCTGAGGCCAGTCTCGTGGCAGCACACCGTCTGATCAGGCTCGTGAGGGGAAAGCAGAAGGATTCGGAGCAGGAGGGGCCACGTACCTAATGGTGTGCTCAAAATAGATGTCGTCCATGGAGGCTGTGACGCAGGGGCAGCCCGCGTGCCTCTCAGCTGGCAACGGGAGAAGAAAGCCAGATGTTAGCAGCCTCCCACCTCACCCAGCTCTGATCAGATGTCGCCTCCTCGAGAGCTCCTCTGGTGCCGGGCCCAGGCCACCCCCAACTGCCTTCTTTCTGGTCCTTCGCCACCGTCCTGGCCTGTTTTATACACCTGGGTCCCACGTGTGTATTGTCCCTCCTTTCAGCTAGGCTGTCAGTTACACAGGGCCGGGGGGTGAGGTTGCCCACCCTGTTCAAGACTGAACTGTCCCTGCCTGCCACACGGCAGACCCTCGTCAGCAGCCATGGACTGAATGAGGGACCACACCATGCTGTCCTAGTCCTTTCAGGACCCCTCTCAGGTGCCTGAGCCCCTCTGCAGACCCTCCCTGTCCCCAAGGCTGGTTTGAGGCCTTTCACCCCAGCAGGCTGTGAGCTCCCTGAGAACACTGGTCCAACCAAAGGAATGAAGTGAGCTCAGCTCAGATGGAAGGAGGGAGGACAACAGGCAGCCCCAGCCCTGCTCGCTGCTCAGCACCTGCAAGCCAGTCATGAAGCCACCAGGTCTGAGGCTGCAGGGAAGCTGGGGCCTCAGGGTGTGACCCAGGCACAAGGGGCCATGGGGCTTGGGGAGAGGGACAGGCTGCCCCAACCACTAGGAATCTTTGAGGGCATTTCAGGCAGGTGGGCCAGGATGAGCAAAGGCCAGGGAGGAACAAGTGCAGCCCTCAGGGGGACAGTGACACCTCTGAAAACGGAAGCCTCTGCCCTGGACCCGGGCTTTACCAGACAGGCAGGCCGTGGTGTCGATCCACTTGAGCAGTTGCCCGACACTCAGCTCGCCGCGCTGGTTGGTATGGCAAGGCAGCACCAGCTGGCTCATCTGTACCTCCGTGGGGTTCCGGTCGTCCTCGCTGTCTGCCATGGTGTCCTCGTCCCTCGCGTGGGAGACCGACTTCCGGGATGTGCGGCTCGAGAACACGGAGGCAAAGCCCTGGGGAGCAGGAGGGGACACAGAGTCAGCTCTGCCCAACCAGAGACCCAGGGCCTGAGGGAGCAGAGCAGCAGCCCAGGGCCACCACCCTCTAGCCCATGTCAGAGCCCAGCGCTCTCTGGATGTCACCTAGGCCTCATTTTCTTCTGGCCCACAGCTCCAACAAGTCCAAGGTGGTGGTGGTGGAGAAGAAGACAGAATCTACCTCCTCACTTCAGTTCCAGGCCCCTTCGTTAAGTTTTGCTTTAGATGGACCTCCATTCTTATTTTTGTTTTGCTTTGTTTTGTTTTATTTTGAGACAGGGTCTCACTATGTAGTTGAGACTGACCTGGAACTCACTATGTAGCCAAGGCTGATCTCGAACTCACATCGATCCTCCTGCCTCAGCCTCCCAAGTGTTGGGATTACAGGCATGCGCCACCACACCCGGCTGTCCCTCCATTCTTAAAAGATAGCCCTCTCTACAAAATGTGGGGGCAACAGACAGTGCAATCAGATGTCACCTAGGTCTTAAAAAGGAAGGAAATCCTGCCCATGCCCCCGAACGGATGAACCTTGAAGACAGTGTAAGTGAACGAAACATGTCAGTTACAGAAGGACAAACATGTGAGTCCATTCATGGGAGGAACATGTGATTCCATTCTTGAGAGGTTCTTAGAGAAGTCAAGTGCATCCACACAGATAGCAGGATGCTTGGTAGTAGCCAAGGGTGAGGGGAGAAGGAAATGGAGAGCTGCTGCTTAATGGGTTCGGAGTTTCAGTTCGGGAAGATGAGAAAGTTCCGGAGAAGGTTAGCAGTGACGGTTTCCACATTCAATATGAATATACCGAAAACCACTGAACTGTACACTTAAAATGTTTTAAATTGAGCCAGGCATGGTGGTGTGCACCTGTCATCCCAGCACTCTGGGAAGCTGAGGCAGAAGGATCACAAGTTTGAGTCTGGCCTGGACAATTTAGTGACTTAGCAAGACCCTGTCTGCAAATAAAAAATAAAAAAGGACTGGGGATACAGCTCAGTGTGAAGGCCCTGGGTTCAATCCCCCATACCGCAAAATTAAAACTAATGTTTAAACTGGACCACTGCGTTCTCTCTTGGACAGTGGCCCACCCTCATGCTGCAGGGTGCACTTGTTTTCCTACTTTTACTTGGCCCAAACTTGCTCTGCAGAACCTGTTTACTTTCCTACCTTTAATAAATGTAAAACTTTGTGACCGTTTCTGCTTTGGTCAAGACAGAAAGAACCTAGAAACCACCTCTAGAAGGAGACCCCAGCACCCCAAACCCAGTAGCATATCCGGCCTATCCAGCCAGGAGGCGGTGGGGAACTCAGGAAAGTTTCTCCTGGCACCAGCAACAGCTCCCTAGTGTCCCACCATGGGGGTGGGGGTGGGGAGTGCATGGCCCATTTTTCCCAGCTGAAATTCAGGTAATTTGGAGACAGGCATGGCTCAAGCAGAACAAAGGAATGGCCAGTAAAAGCTCAACTCCAGGGGCTGTTTTCTTTTTCTTCAAATCATACCAAAGCACCACAGCACCCCAAGGTAAAAGAGAGCACATAACCCCTAGGACGTAGGACCTATAACCCCTCCAGCAGAAGGTAGCTATACGAAGACAGAGACCTCCAGCACCCCACGAAGAATTCTGGGGATCTGCATCTTTTAGGGGAGAATGAGGCAGGAAAGCAGGGAGTGGTAGAGCTGGCTGAGGAAGCAGGCAGGATTTGTTGATTACAAAATCCTGGGACACACTGCCCAGGAGTTCCCAAAGCCCTGCATGTGGACTTCTCTCTCAAACTCAAGCAGGTTTTCCATAGGATGACCGAGACCTGACGTCAGCCTAGGCGTGGACCATCCACCCTGAGTTTTCACCACTGTGTTCTCTTGCATGGTGGTACAACCTCACGCTGTAGGGTGTACTCCTTTTTCTTTTTTAAATAAATTTTGTTTTATTTCACCCCATTCCCCCTCAAGCCCCCTTGTACTTCTTTTCCTACTTTTACTTTTCCAGAGCCCAAACTTGCTCTGCAGAGCCTGTTTTCCCACATCTAATAAATGTAAAACTTGTTACTATTGAAAATAAGGTGGGCTGGGGATCTAGCTCAGTGGTTCTGTCACCTGCCTCACAAGCACAAGGACCCGGGTTCGATCCCTGGTGCCAAAACAAAAAAAAAAAGAAAGAAAGAAAGAAAGAAAGAAAGAAAATAAGATGCCGGGCCGGGGATTTAGCTCAGTGGTGCCATCGCCTGTCTCGCAAGTGCAAGGACCAGAGTTCGATCCCCGGTACAAAAATAAATAAATAAATGATATTTAAAATGATAAGTTTTAAAAATCCAAATTGTGCAAAGACTCCAACCAAAAAGAGAGGATTGCCAGCTTGTGTTTAAAAAGGACGATCTAGCCAGAAAGAAAAAGAGAAAGGAAGGGAGTGAAGGAAGAAGGGAAAGGAGAGAAAGGAAGGAGGGAAGGAGAGGAGGGAAGGGAAGAAAAGGAGGAAGACAAAAGCCCCTCCATGAAGGGAGCCCAACAGGCAGTGAGCCTGCACACAGCAACAGCTCCGGCACCGTCCCTGCAGCAAAGCCGATGTCACCCCTACCGGCCCTCCCCAGCCTCTGGGTGCCGCAGAGGGCAGAGGCAGGAAAACCTCTGGTGTGATAGCATCCTCAGCATGTGGGTCTTCGGCGAGGAGGGTTCTGGGCAGCCACTGCCTGGCGGCTGGATCTGGGCCAGGTCTGTGGCAGCTGCCAGCTGGGAAAGCTCAAATACCTGCGTGAGAGGTGGGCTTCTCCAGGCGGAGCAGGGGGCCCTGACTCCTTTTCTCTCCAAGCTGCCCTTGGACTCTAACTGTGGACTCAAGACAGACGCATGAGTTCTGATTCTCACAGCCAGGGCCAGTTGTGTGGTGGCGATGAGTCACAGACAATGTCTACACTTGAGTGTCACGTGTTCCTCTAAGCACCTGACATGTTCCCGTTCCACTTTACTCATACAACAAACCCTCGAGACAGGTACGTTATTATCCTCATCTTACAGGTGAGGAAATTGAGGCCCTGGTGAGTGTCAAAACTAGACTGGCATCCAGAGGCCTGGCTGAGAGTCTGAGCTCCTGCCCAGCACACTGGCTGCCTGCAGGGCCTCCTGGGATTGAGAGGAAGAGGAGGGAGGACCCTGCACCTCCAATGCCACAGCAAAGCACACACTGACCAGGCAGCAAGGCCACCCAGCTGCAGGGTGGGAATGGTGCTGGGCCTCTGTTGGGGTCTGCATGCTCTGGACCATTTCCCCACAAAGATCCCATAGCCAGTTCAACAAAAATTCAAAAGACAGGCCAGGGATTTAGTTCAGTGGTTCTGCTACCTGCCTGGCAAGTGCAAGGTCCGGAGTTTGATCCCCGGTACCAAAAAAAAAAAAAAAAAGAAAGAAAAGGGCCAGGCATGGTGGCGCATGCCTATAATCCCAGCACTCTGGAGGCTGAGGCAGGAGGATCCGTATGAGTTCAAGATCAGCCTGCACTACATAGTGAGTTCCAGGTCAATCTCAATTACATAGTGAGACCCTGTCTCAAAAAACCAAAAGAATTAAAAAAAAAAAGAAAGAAAGAAAGAAAAGAAAAAAAACCTCAAAAGACAATGCCATGACTTGCTCCATGTCCTAGACCCCTACAGTGGTAGGACTAGGATTTGCACCAGGCCTGCTTGAGGTTCCCAGAAATGCTGCAGCCCATTTCCGAGAGCCCCTGGGTATCAGGCACAGTGCTGAGCACCTAGGGGAGAGAGCAATGGCCCCAGAGCTCTCAGCCTGGGTGGAGGCCCGCGAGGTGCCAGGCTGCCCCGCTTTCAGACTCTGGTAGGCAGCTTGAAGGCCGCTTCAGTCCAGACAGCAGGACCCATCACCATGGCAACTGCAGCAGAGTATTTCCAGCCTGGGTGTGCACTGGGGCCCACTTGGATGTGGATGCGGGTGGTTGGCTTTCCGGGTGTGGGAGCCAGAGAGGGAGAAGGCAAGCAGGCCACAAACCCTGAAAGCCAGGAGTTCTGGGAAAAAATAGTCCAGGAAGAAGCCCTGGGGAGAGCTAAGGAGGCCTGGAAGGCAAAATGCAGAGGAACAGTGGGCAGAACAAAGAAGGCAACCAAAGTTCTGGGTGGGCTGGAGGTGCACCTTGGGAACCCGCTTGGCCACACCCACATCCCAGGTCCTCACAGGGAAGGCAGAAGGCCCATCTTACAGATGAGGAAACTGAGAATGGACAGGGCCTATGCCAGCAAGCCTGAGCTCCAGTCCTCTTCCTGCTTCTCTGCTGTTGCCCCCACTCCTGAAAGCTGCCTGCTTCCTGTACTGGAAAGCAGAGTCCCAGCTTCCCAATGGACTCCATGTGCCTGCAGACAGGATTCCTGTCTCCTTCCTTTCTTCCTTCACTAAGCACCTCCACTGCCCTGGGCTCTGGGCCAACTGCCAAGAAAATGAAGATGAAGTGGTCCTAGAAGAACCTGGCACACAGTAGAGCCTCACCCAGCATTTGCAGAGGGAGGAGTAGAGGCAGACCTGAGTGCAGAGCTCAGCCTGTCCCGCAGGCTGTGTGACCCTGAGAAAGCCTCCCATCTGGCCCTAAGGTCCCCATCCCTGCCTGGGACCAGAGTTCCAGGCCAACCCCTGCTGCAGAGCCCTGCGGAACACTGGACCTCACTGTCACTGAAGCCAGTCAGGGGGCAGGGGTGCAGAGCAGCCCAAGTGCCCGGGCACATTCTCTCAGACTCTTCATTCCTCGGGCTCCCAGGCACTGTGCCTGAGGTGGGCTGGCTGCCAGCACGAGGCTAGGCCTGGCCAATGAGACCCTGGAGCAAGGCCACTCCTCCCCAGAGAGCTGAGGACCAAGGCAGCTGAGCCAGCCCAGCACTCCAGAGGGCAGAGAGGTGCCCTTTCTCAGAGCAGCCAGGCCAGGCCCCAGCCCCAGACCACAGCAGAGCTGGCTGAATTGGATGACTCCCAGGAGGCCCCAGCA